AATATATGTATGTGTGTGTGTGTAATTTAGGGAACTATTTTATATATATTATAATTATAATATATTTATAATATATTATAATTATATATAATTTAGAGAACTATTATATACATATATATAATTTAGGGAACTGTGGTATTTGGATGTAGATGAATTTAGGCTGAGCTTGGGTTGGAATGGATTAAAATGGTGTCTTGGAATTCTTGAGCCAATCTTGTATCAGTCATGTAACTCCTTTATTTATGAAATAAATAATGATATGAATGTTCCATTGTCTCTTTCTGCATTCACATCATTAGTTTGTTTTCCAGCATTCTTGTTTTGAGCAGAGATTAAGTTCCATTATACATATATTTTCCTTTATGGATATAGGCGCATTAAAGGACCTGATAACCTCTGGCAGCATATAAAAGGAATAGCTCTTAGTCTGCTGAGTTAGTTATGATGTCATTTTAATCATCTTTATCAAAATAATGAGAAGAAAATGAATGTATAAATTTATAATGAAAATATTTACTCATATACATATTTTATTTTCTTATAGAGTGACTTTACAAGGTCTTCCTGATACATTCTTGAACATCAAAGTTCATGTGGTTGAACAGATAATTGAACTGTTTAACACAGAAAGTGACAAGAAATTGGAATGTATACAGTTTGGTGCTGTGTTCTTTGGAACATCAAAAATTGAGCATGCACTTCTGTTTAACAATAGCCCTGAAACCATTAACTGGGTGGCAATAATGCAAAATGATTGTGTTGGAGAAGAGCTGGTAAGTGAACTGTGCAAAAGTGGCACATTATGTTGGAATTAAACTAGATGGGTTTTTCTTGCAAATAAGTGACCATTTATATTCTCCAGTTTTCAACTGGATCATGTACCGTAATCAAATTTAGGTAAATGCTACTTTAGAGACTAATAGTCTTCATTTTCTAGGTTCTGAAATTTTAATAATTATTTTAACCTTTTAAAATATGTTTACTTTTTCCCTAATATGTTTTTGTGTCTTATCTTATGTTACAAGGAACAAATATTCATCAAAGGACAGATATTGCTTTAAATAATCTCCCCTACTTAAACAAAATAAAGAAAATCAATATGACTGATTTTATCTTCTGTGTTCCCAATGAAGGGACTTTACTTCCTTATCAAAAGATTGTTATTACATTTTGCTTCAGCCCAAAGTAAGTAAAAGTGAATTCAATTGTAATGAAAATTATAGTAACTATACACTAGGCCAGATTTATTTGATGTCATAGCCAAAAATATTTGAAGGCAAAAAAATCCAATTTTTCTTACCTTTCTAAATATTTCTAACTTGGTTAAGATTTTCAATATTTGTAACTATCCGATAGTTTATATTAAATTAAAAATAATGTCCTAGACATATTGGAAATTGGCGGTGGCAATAAAGTTTTAGATTGCTTAAGTTGATTTGTAAAGCACAGAATTTGCTGTTACTGCAAGAATCATCAAGTACGTATTTCATTATGCCGACAGATAGCAAGTGATGCTCTTACCTGAACAAAATCCTCTCTGGCTGAATCCTATTAGTGTTAAATAAACAGCACCTGTTTTAGTTAACCTACATCATTTAATCATATGTATATATTATCACAATTCATTGTCCTTGCTTTTGTTACTTAGGCTGAAAATAGTTTAAAAATATTAAATATATGGTAACAAATGCAGGAATATCTTAGTATGTTTATGTGTAAAACGCCAACTGAACTGTAAAAAATTACCTCTTTTAGAGAGTTATTTTCTTTAAATGTGCTACCATCACAACATTTTCACTTAGTGATATCATCATTTTGAATGTTGAAATGTGTTTTAATTGAAGGGGATGTGATGGTTAGTTATGTATATGGTAGATTGCCTTAAGTGATTTGGGAAGATCCATTCTGAGAGTAGGTGGCACTCTTCTCTGTTTTTGAACCTTATGCTATGTAAGAGTACAGAATAACTTACTGAGTGCTAAACAAGCATGTACTTATTTTTCTCTGCTGAACAGTGGCTATGATGTGACTAACACTTTAAATTTTTTTGCCTTGTCTTCTGTGCTTTGATGGAATTTGACCTGGAATAGCAAACTAAAACAATCCTTTCTCTTCTTGGTTGTTTTATTTTATTAACACAAACAACTAAAGTAGAAAGCTAATTGATAATTGTCCTACTCTTATAATCACAAACTTTTGTACAGAAAGTTTCTTTGGAAAACTTATAAGATTATGTTCAACATTCACAAGACTATTACGTTATTTTATGTGTATGTCTGTGTATCTTAGAGTATACATTGTTGTGAGTCACATGGCGTGAGTGCTGGGAAACAAGTCTCGGTCCTCTTAAATATTGAGCCATCTCTTCAGCGTTTTTTTACCCATATATACTTTGAAAGAAATCCAAATGTTGTTTTGTGTTACAGCATTTTAAATTTATTTAGGAGTCTAGCATGGAAATTTATGTGTGAATATATTTGAAGTCTTTGTTAAAATTGAACACACCACATGTATTCCAATTTAATATTACACATCACTTTCTTGTGTATTTGAGCATCCACATGCTGAAGAGTTAACATTTAGGTAAGCTAGATATTGTCAATGACCAAGCTTATGGTGTAACCCACTATACCTTTGTTCCTGATTATTTCTTTTCATTCCATCCTTCCTTTACATTTCTTTAAGAAGATCAGACCTATATGAAATCATGTTCTCTACTTGTACATTACCATGAACTTATCAATTCACTTCACTGAATGAAATAAATATTTAACAGATGTTACTACCAGGGACAATATGGGTTATTATAGGGTCCTTAACTAACAATAAATTCTGTCTGGAAGAAAAATACATTATGGACACTCTGGCATGTGATGGAGAATTTGGCAAGTTGGTATAATTTAAGTTAGTTTTGTCTTAGAAGTATTTGTATTAATTCATTTCTTTCTTTGAGGTTTATGTTCTGGGAGCCTCTTTTGTTAGTAAATTTTAAAAATGGGTAACAGTTGCATTATTATTCCTTTCCTTCTGCTTGTGTAGATTTAAGGATTATGTCAAAATTTATATTGATAAGTGACAAAATATGTCACCTCTGCTGTAAAAATAATGAGTTGTGATATTTACAGGCTTGTAGTTGATGCTCAAAGGGATGTTGGGCCTTCACATAGGCAAGACTATGCTCTCTTTGTGAGATTTGATTCTGTGGGAAGTAAAGATGGATTTTTAAGTGATGATAACTCTAACACCATGAAAAGTAAGTATAAAATTAGTAAGATCATTAAATGTGTGGCAGTTAAAATTCTTTAAAAGCAAAAACAAAAACAAAAACAAAAACAAAAAACAAAAAAAAAACACATGAAGTTGGGAAGGAAATGTGAGGGAATATGGAGGAAATGGAGGAGAGTAAATGGGAAGTGAATTTGAAAAAAAACTCAATATATGTATGTGTGACATTCTCAAGCAATAAAACTAATGAGCATCACAGAAAAAATATAAAATGCATACTTTTTATATTGAACAAAAATGCAAGCACATTCATGGCCTTAATATGCCATCTGTGGCATATTAGAACCTTAGAACCATTTTCATAATTTTCCAAGTTAGAATTTACATGACTTTACATAAACATGATTAAGGGATTTGAGAAATTAAAAACAAACGTTTTTGTTCTTCTATATAAAAAGTTTGTTTTATAGACTCGACACAAAACAAATGTGTCATTCTATATTTGACCTTTGGAATGTTACATGTAGTAACAGTCAAAGAGCAAGGTTGAGAGGCTGAGTGAGGTTGAATGCTTTGAATCCCAGCACTTTGGAGACAAAGGCAAGTGGACCTCTCAGAGTTTGAGGCCAGCTTGCTCTACCGATTGACTTCCAGGACAACCAGGGCTACACAGAGAAACCCTATGTCAAAAAAAAAAAAAAGACAAAAAAGGAGCAAGATTGAGATCTATTAAGCTGAGTATAATACTGTATTTGGAAATATACTATGAGAAGGCAGGGAACATGTATTTTACAGGCCACATATATATTCTTTTGCAATTGCAGGTAGGTTTGTGTTGATTGGAGGTAAGCAAAACTGTGATAGTACTTGAGTCATTTTTGTTTTTAAATAAGTCAAATAAAAGATGAAGGAATACCTAGGAGAAGTAAACCCATCTTGTAAATTTAGGAAAGCCAAGAGTTTAGAATATTTGCAGGCCAGTATAAGTGTTACTGAGCAAGATTAAACTGTGTTACTATTTAACACACACACACACACACACACACACACACACTGGCACACACAGGCACACACACTCTCTCTCACACCTAATCTTGCTCATATGGCAGAAATGTTTTGCTGATATTACTTATGTTATGGCTTGTCATATAGAACTGTTTCCTGCCCATAGAACATTTATTTGAAGTCTTCCTGTTACTGCAGCTTTTGTTTTTTCATTTTCCCTTTTATTGAACATCGATTCTTTTCTCATACAATATATACTATTTATAATTTCTTTTACCTCTACTTTTCACAGTTTCTCCCCACCTTTCTTTCTTCTGGATCTGCTCCTTTTTCTAAACAGAAGTCTCTGATTAGAAAATAATAGCCTTCTAACAGCTAACAATCCAACATGAACAAGTAAAATATAGTAAGATGAAACAAAGTCTTTCACATAAAATTGAACACAAAGTTGAACACTGCAGCCCAAAGTAGGGAAAGAATCTCAAGAGCAAGCACAAGAGTCAGTGGACCACCAATTTTCATACTTAGAATTCCCATAAAATACTAAGCTAGTAGCTACAATTTGTGTGCAGTTGCTTCTGTAATCTTGTTAAGGCCCTCTGTTTGCTGCTTCAGTCTCTATGAGGTCATGTCTTGATTAGTTGACTCAGAAGGCCTTGTTCTCGTGGTGCCCTCCATATTTTCTGGCACTTACACTCTTCCTGTTTACTCTTCCTGAGTATTCCTGAGCTCTGAGGGGAGGAGTTTGATTTAGATCTCTTATTTAGAGATGTCTTTCCATATAATGTCTGGCTGTGCATCTCTGCATCTGTTCCATCTGCTGCAGGATGAAAGCTTCTCTGATGATGGTTGGATAAGGCATTGATCTGTGAGAACAGCACAATACCATTAGTAGTCATTTTATTGATTTTTTTTGTTTGTTTTAGACCAGTAATATTTGGTTTTACCCTAGGAATCTTGGTTATCTAGTTTCTAGTTTTTGTTTATCTAAGCAGTATCTGAATAGCTTTTTAAGAAAGGAGTTGACCCCAATACTCCTCAAATAATCCCACAAAATGAAAAAGAGAAGGAACATTGCCCAATTAATTTTATGATGACAGGGCTACTCTGAGTGCAAGGAGAGACAGATGAAATGGAACTGGCCTTAAGACAAATCAGACAAAGGTTGTCTAATTCTGTGGCACCATTGCTCAGTATATTTTTAGGCAGGACAGATTGTAGGTCAAAGGTTTAGTGGTTGGGTTGGTATCCACATTTCTCTTCCTGTAACCTGCAAAGTACCTTCCTGCAACAAGGAGTCTAGAACATAGGGTTGAAGGCTCCATTGAAGGTACTAGTTCAATGAGTCCTGTTGATGTTGTCTTAGGCAATGGGGCACTGCTGTCATTGTGTAGAATGCAGTCTCCTATCTAAGAAACAGCCCGGGGTATTTGGGGATTTCCATGGGACTCACTGAAACTCAATTAAATGCAATCCATTCCTACGATTGGAAGCCTTGCTTGGCAGAAAGAGACGACAACTTGAGATTCCATATGAGTCTTCCCTAGGAGTTCTCATTAGGATCACTTTCAAATATTCCAGGAAGTTTCTACTGCAATGTTTCCACACCACCCCCCAAAATCACTCCAATTTCAGCTGTCTCTTCTTGTACTCAGGGTAACTGTATCCTCTTAAAATGAATTTGGCAATGTTCCTTTTGTTTTTCATTTTATGGTAGTATTTGAGGAATATTGGCATCAACTGTTTTTAAAAGTCTGGTAGAATGCAGCACTGAAACCGTCTAGTTCATTGTCATTGGATGACTTTTCATGGCTGCTTCTATTTCCTTAGGAGTCATAGGTTTATGTAAAATTTTTATTTGATTTTGATTTAACTTTGGTAAGTGTTACCAAAGATGAAAATTATCCATTTCTTTTAGATTTTACAATTTGATGGAGTTACAGGCTTTTAAAGTATTTTTTTTTTTGGTTCTCTGGATTTCCTAGGTGCCTATTATTATGCCCCCTTTCATTTCTGCTATTGTTAATTTGAATATTGTTTTTCTATCTTTCAGTTAGTTTGGATAAAGTCTTGTCTATCCTGTTCATAAAGAAAACTCTTTGTTTTATTGATTCTTTGTATAGTTTTCTTTGTTTCTATTTTATTGATTTCAGCTCTGATTTTGATTATTTATTGACATCTAGTCATCTTGGGTATCCTTATTTATTTTGTTCTATAGCTTTTAGATGTGTTGTTAAGTTGTTAATATGAGACCTCTCTCTCTCTCTCTTTTTATGTAGGCACTTAGTACTATGAACTTTCCTCTTAGCACTGCTTTCATTGTGTCCCTTGTATATGTAGTGTATTCATTTTCATTGAATTCTACAAAGGCTTAAATTTCCTTTAATAGTCCTGTCTTGACATGTTTTTCATTCAGTAGAAAGTAGTTCAGAATATATGATTTTGTAAGAATTCTGTTGTTGTTGATATCCAGCTGTAATTTTTGGTAAGCTAATAGGGAGTTATTTCAATGTTGTGTTAGTTGAGACTTTCATTTTGTACATGTATGTGGCAAATTTTGTAGAAATTTCCATGAGTTGCAGAGAACAAGGCATATTTTTTTGTGTTTTGGTGAAATTTTCTGTTAATATCTGTTAGGTCTATTTAGTTTATAACATTTTTCAGCAACCTATTGAGCGACCTGTTAGATATGCCCACTATGTTGTCTACTACACAGTGGCTCATGCTAACCTAGCTTTCTTTCTTTCTTTCTTTCTTTCTTTCTTTCTTTCTTTCTTTCTT